GAAGGTACATACAGGATGAATATCGTTATGATGAGTACACTTTTGAAGGCACAATGTCCACACATTTTCAACAATATTTTGACCTATATTTTATGTATTGGGAGTATATGTACTTACTTTAGCTTCCTATTAATGCAATAAAATACTTATTGTCCCTTACGTCTTGCCTATAAAATCGATAAGTGAAACTTAGGTTTAACAGCTTCCAAGCAGGTAACACTTGCCATATATGTGGAATGTAAACAATTGCTCCATACATGAAAACTGTTGCCGCGTGGTTTTGTCGGAGTTTGCCAAACTGGTTTCAATCACCGTTGTAGTGGATATTCAAAGAGCTTCCAAGGGACATAACTCTTAGTGCTGGTATTGGCATACAACCATGCGTCTGATACATCACGATACTAAAATTTTAGTCATGACGATATATTGCTAAAAGTATTGTGCACTGAAGCTAATACAATATGAATCGATACAAGGATGGCAATCTGACACATATCACAATTCTAAAACCTATAATTCTAACACCAACTATAAAACACCTTAAGATCAAACAAAACCATTTAAAGTATTTATGTTCACAAATTCCCACAGGCGTTTTTCAATGGACATTCGGAAATGAGATAAATGAGTTTATACACAGACTTTGTGAATGTTAATGAAATGCGGCTATGTTTGACACAGTTCCTGGCGCTTAAGAATGTCCGAGAAACTTATGAAGGAAAATAAGTATGCATATATTTTAATCACCAAACAAAAGTAAGTCTTTCTTGACAGATATCGTCAATTAAATCAATATTCAAAGTAATACATCGATGTGTCGTGGCCTTTTGAAGTATCGTGATCGGGATATATCTGACAATGTAAAACTTTGTATCGATTCACTGTATCAGTGGTCCATGGATCAATGCATCGATGTATCGATGAATCATCCGTACTAACGAATTCTATGGGGTTGCGCTTGAAATAATGTTCGGCCAGTAGAGGGCGAGAGTCCCGATTTAATGCAATGTTGCATTAAATCATTCGAACTTTTAATTTAAAACTGAAATCTAAATATGTAATTTATTTTGGAATAAATTATATAGTAGCTCTCCCTGAGGGCTGATAGTTAGTATTATTGAGAGAAATGCATCATGTATTTTAGAGAAGTGGGGTGTGACATTTAACTTTTAATCAATTATGTACCTCTTCTCATTAATAAAGCTTTCCTAAAACTGGCACCAATCCATGAAAAATAGATAAATTCAATTTAAAAAGTAAAGTTTCAACTATAACACCAGATAATCAACCATCATTATTATGCCGCATTTCTTGGGGATATTTTGGCTGAAATGTGAACTGAGGTTATGACATGTCACCAGGGTTTCGATCCACAAGGTGTTTGTAACGTTTCGATCCATCATAAGTCGTAACTTTATCATAGGCTTACGAATACATATTGCTACAGACTCTGTAACACAGGAGAGAACAATATTTTGTTTAAAATACTGGAAATACTTCTGCCACAAATATAACATATATTTCAGAAAACTGACTGTGCGAAATGATAGAGACCATAGCAGTTCACAACAAAAAAAATCTTCATCTTCCAAATTTGCTTGCCACCCCAAGAATATGAAATATTGGTCTCTTACTTGTTCTTGATGTGGAAGGACATGGCGGTGAGGTGAGTAACGGGAAGGCGGGCGTGGTCTCGCGTGAAGGACGTTATCAGGTCTGTACAGGCACTGTGATCGTCCTCGCACTTTTGACTGCTTCCTAGGTTATATCTACACAAGAAATATATATTTCTCACAAAGAGGATCTTTTTGCCATTCTAGATAAGATTGAACAGTATATTCACATACATGTTTTGCAAACTAAAATCTGAATTAAACACATCCACGACTTGCAACAATTTTCATGATTAATTCACATCTAAAAGCTCTGTGCATTCAGTTCCTATCAGTCCCATCTCCTTTGTAATGCACTTATTCAAACCAAAAATCCAAGCAATTGTTTCTAGCTTGTGGAACTGATTTTACTTTATATTTTGGATCATGTAGTCACTGCGGAGAAGCCGATGTTTGAATACCTTCATGACTCCATTGTTACAGTTCTGTGTTCACGATTGAATGCCACAAGGTTATGCAGTAAGGCCTCATTGCCTTGGCAATACTGAATAGACTGACTGACTGACTGAGTTTGGTTTTACGCCGCTTTTAGCAATATTCCAGCAACATCACGGCGGGGGACACCAGAAATGGGCTTCACACATTGTACCCATGTGGGGATTCGAACCGAGGGTCTTCGGCGCGACAGCCAAAGCTTTAACCATTAGGCTACCCCACCGCCCCATTACTGAATAGAACCTATGGAGGGAATCAAAACCCCAAGTTAGCAACTACCCACAACTACTGTGCCGTACAGGTACTGCCACCAATAACGACAGCATCGTACAACAAGAAACAAATACAGACACTTCCCTGTTTGATCCCGGGTGAGGTCTACCTGTGAGGTTTATGGAAGGTGTGGAGGTGAGGTCTACCTGTGGGGTTTATTGAAGGTGTGGAGGTGAGGTCTACCTGTGGGGTTTATGGAAGGTGTGGAGGTGAGGTCTACCTGTGGGGTTTATGGAAGGTGTGGAGGTGAGGCCTACCTGTGGGGTTTATGGAAGGTGTGGAGGTGAGGCCTACCTGTCAGGTTTATGGAAGGTGTGGAGGTGAGGCCTACCTGTGAGGTTTATGGAAGGTGTGGAGGTGAGGCCTACCTGTGATGTTTATGGAAGGTGTGGAGGTGAGGCCTACCTGTGAGGTTTATGGAAGGTGTGGAGGTGAGGCCTACCTGTGATGTTTATGGAAGGTGTGGAGGTGAGGCCTACCTGTGGGGTTTATTGAAGGTGTGGAGGTGAGGTCTACCTGTGGGGTTTATTGAAGGTGTGGAGGTGAGGTCTACCTGTGGGGTTTATGGAAGGTGTGGGGGTGAGGTCTACCTGTGGGGTTTATGGAAGGTGTGGAGGTGAGGCCTACCTGTGATGTTTATGGAAGGTGTGGAGGTGAGGCCTACCTGTGAGGTTTATGGAAGGTGTGGAGGTGAGGCCTACCTGTGATGTTTATGGAAGGTGTGGAGGTGAGGGGGGCCTCACCTGTGATGTTTATGGAAGGTGTGGAGGTGAGGCCTACCTGTGAGGTTTATGGAAGGTGTGGAGGTGAGGCCTCACCTGTGAGGTTTATGGAAGGTGTGGAGGAGTGAGAGGCCTACCTGTGGGGTTTATATAAAAAGGTGTGGAGGTGAGGCCGACCTGTCAGGTTTATGGAAGTAGTGCAGGTGAGGCCTACCTGTGGGGTTTATGGAAGGTGTGGAGGTGAGGTCTACCTGTGACGTTTATGGAAGGTGTGGAGGTGAGGCCTACCTGTCAGGTTTATTGAAGGTGTGGAAGTGAGGCCTACCTGTGGGGTTTATGGAAGGTGTGGAGGTGAGGTCTACCTGTGACGTTTATGGAAGGTGTGGAGGTGAGGCCTACCTGTGATGTTTATGGAAGGTGTGGAGGTGAGGCCTACCTGTGGGGTTTATGGAATGTGTGGAGGTGAGGCCCGAGTTCCTCGCTGATGGAGTGGTGCAGATATCGTCCAGTCTGCATGATGTTCACCCTCATGCCATCACTCCTCTCTAGCGCCACCTGGACAGGAGATAACACATGCATGAAGTTGGGTTTTAAACCATTTCAGGAACATTCCTGCCAAATACAAGTAGTGGGTACCATGAAGGATCTTTAAGCAATATACTCACTTGAAGAATCAACTTCAGATCATCAGCTTGGAATGCTTGTATCACAATCAGTGTGCACCTACCTTGATCACCACCACATCCAGATCCTTCTCCTCGTATTCCTCCGGAGGAACTTAGGTGTTGTACACAGTATAGTACCTACCTTGATGACAACCACATCCAGATCCTTCTCCTCATACTCCTCCGGAGGAACCTGGGTGTGTACACAGTGTAGCACCTACCTTGATCACCACCACATCCAGATTCTTCTCCTCATATTCCTCCGGAGGAACTTGGGTGTTGTACACAGTATAGTACCTACCTTGATGACAACCACATCCAGATCCTTCTCCTCATACTCCTCCGGAGGAACCTGGGTGTGTACACAGTGTAGCACCCACCTTGATGACCACCACATCCAGATCCTTCTCCTCCTACTCTTCCAGGAGAACCTGGGTGTTGTACACAGTGTAGCACCTACCTTGATCACCACCACATCCAGATCCTTTTCCTCGTATTCCTCTGGAGGAACCTGGGTGTTGTACACAATGTAGCACCTACCTTGATCACCACCACATCCAGTTCCTTTTCCTCGTATTCCTCTGGAGGAACCTGGGTGTTGTACACAGTGTAGCACCTACCTTGATCACCACCACATCCAGATCCTTCTCCTCGTATTCCTCTGGAGGAACCTGGATGTTGTACACAGTGTAGCACCCTACCTTGATCACCACCACACACATCCAGATCCTTCTCCTCGTATTCCTCTGGAGGAACCTGGGTGTTGTACACAGTGTAGCACCTACCTTGATCACCACCACATCCAGATCCTTCTCCTCGTATTCCTCTGGAGGAACCTGGGTGTTGTACACAGTGTAGCACCTACCTTGATCACCACCACATCCAGATCCTTCTCCTCGTATTCCTCCGGAGGAACCTGGATGTTGTAGACAGTGTAACACTTGGACTGGCCGTACAGTCGCTCACACGACAGGCGATAACACTGGTACGAGTATAGCATGTCAGGAGTTGTCTGCATAGACTTGGGCAGGTAGCGGGAATACTTCGGCATCAGTGTAGCAGTCAAGCGAACATCTTCATCCTGAAAGTATTTTGATTCAGCTGAAAGAACCTTATTATACTTGTAAGGAGGATCTATGGCCATAACAAAAATGTAATTTTTAGAGTAAAATTGATATTTTATACTTATCCTGACTCATGCTCTTTTGCTTGTCTTCTTCTTCTTGCGAACATAGTGGAACACTTGTATCTCCTTATTTGAAGCTCCCTTCAAAATAAAATCACTAATTGGTACTCACCACGAGTTGCTCCCCTTTGTCTCCCCTGGCGGGAAAAGGTGTCGCCACCCTCTGGCCATGTGCTCCACTCTCTCCTGATTTAGCGAGCCCAACACTTGAATTTACAGGGAAATCCAAAGTGTTATGTGGGGAGGATGGGAGGGCTAACCTCATGAGTCAGGATAAGTATAAAATATCAATTTTACTCTAAAAATTACATATATTTTCCTTATCCTGACTCATGCTCTTTTGCTTGTAGCATCCCTCCCGGAACGGAGGTGGGTAACAGAATACTTTGGATTTATAATTAGTGATTTTGTATAGATATACTGTAATATCCCTCACGGAACTTCATGAAGCCTTAGATTTAGGATGTTTCCTGTATAAAAGAAAACCATAGGTTATATAAAGCCATTAAAGGGGAATTATATTATGAATATATTGAACAATACATATAAATTATATATATATATATATATAGGTGACTCTGATAGAGGCACTGAAATTGACTATATCAAGTATATGCTTAAGGTAGAATACTTAAGCTGAACATATATACATAGCCCTAAACTCCTTAGAGTTATAAGCTAGATGAGTATGTATAAAATACATATTAATCTTGTGAGGCTAATATTTTAACGCCTCTGAGGGACTGTCAGTTGCTGAGCGAGGACCAGTGGTCCAATGGTGAATGCCAGAGACATCTTCTGTAGTGATGTCTCTTAGGTAGTGATTAGCAAATACCATGTTAGATTTCCAATAGCATCCTTCCATAATCGTGTTCAAGGAACAGTTACCGTGTAGGGCGAGGGTAGAGGCCAGTGCCCTGATCTCATGTGGATTTGATGCTGTTGGTGGGTCCAAGCCTGCTGCCTTGTAGGCACGGAGAATGACAGTCCTTATCCAAATAGATATTGTGGTCGTGACTGACACTTCTGTTTGATTCAGTGGTTGATAATGGGATGAATAAGCGTTTGAGAAATCTTCTCCTTGTTTTGGATCGTAAATAAAATAAACTTTGAGCTCTTACGGACACAGTGATAGGTCTTGTGTATCTTGTGATCCGAGAATAGAGGATAAGCCGGGATGTGGAATAATCTGTCTGGTTGACCTGGCAGTTGATTCTTTGCAATGAAATCCCATCTTAATCCGAGGTGCGCTGTGTTATGATTGTCATCAAACTGTATCCTCTAAGTAATCCAGAGCGTGAATTTCAGACATTCTTGCTGCTGTGGCTAGCGATAGCAGAAACAATGTTTTCTGTGAGAGAAATTCAAAGTTTGTCGATTCCAAGGGTTCATAGACCTCACTCGTGAGGTGTTGTAACACTAGATTCAGATCCCAAGCTGGAAGTGGAACTTCGCTTTTGGTCCTCAATCGAAAGCTCGTAGAAAAAGGCCAGTAACTCTGGAGATCTTGTCAATTTGACACCCGTTCTCATGGTGATTACAGAGCTAAGCTGCTGCAAGATATGTTGATATCGTTGAACCTTTTAAATGTTTGTTTTGGCGTAGGTAACACAAATAGTCTGCCACTTGAGGTTGTGAAGCCTCTCTTGCTGTAAACCCTTTCTTTGTTGCATAATTTTGAAACTGTGCCACTTTCGTAGATTGGTACATTGCCACGAGTTGAGTAACGTAAGGAGCAAGCGTGACTGCTTTTGCCGCCCTGGCAGAATATCCTCTCTTGTTTAAACACATTTGTATACAGTCCATACGTGTAGTTGGAACATTGCTGGGTTTCCGTGCACTTGTTTGGTGTGAGGATGAATTAACAGGTTTCGCTTGGCTTGGGTAGCTCAGTGTTGGTTGACCGATTTCTTGAATTAGTATGGGAAACCACGTTCTGGCCGACCAGTAGAGGCGACCAAAGTGAGTTGTAGGCTCTGTGTTTGTCTGATTTTCTGTAATGCTTGAGGTATTATTGCTGGCTGGCGGAAAGCTGCACGTGCGCATTGAGGCCTTCCATGATAGACTTAAGTCCGTTGCCCAAGCTTGGGGGTCTGGGACTGGTGACCACGAATGTCGGTAGCTGATTGTTGAATCAGCGTGGCGAGAATAGGTCTATTAAGCGGCCCTAATTGCTTGATTATCTGTGCAAAAATTTCCCGGTTGATCATCCACTCTGTCGGTGATGGTAGATGAGGCCGAAGGCGTCTGCTAGTATATTTCTGGCTCGAGGATGTGCACTGCTCTGACATGTAGATTTAGATCTTGTATTAAATCGAACAGTTGAAAGCTTAGGTTCAAAAGGTTCATCGATCTCGTTGAGCCTTGCTTGTTTATGTAGAACGCCACTGTCGAATTGTCTGTATGGATCATTAGAAGCATTTTGTAGAAATGTGCTCCAATGTAGAATGGCGTTGATTACAGCTTTCATTTCTAGACTGTTTATATGGAGTTTGCATTCTTACTGATTCCATAACCCTGATATCGTGTGGTTGGTGAGATGAGCTCCCCAACCTTGGAGTAACATGGCGTCTACATACAGATGGGTTTTGTATTCCTGCTCTGCTAAACAAATCCCTTCGCAGAACATTGATTTCTTGGTCCACCATAGTAGATGTGGTCTGAGATGTTTCGGTAGACTGAATGGTTGTACATCGTTGAGATGTAATGCGTTGATGAGGACCTGTAGGGGCGTAACTGTAATCTGCCTGTGACAGTCATGTCTTGGGCTGATGTGAGAAGACCTAGTAGGCTCTGCCATTATGCAGTGGTAGCGAGGAGAGTAGAGAAACTGGTGGAATGGTCTGTTGTATCTTGAGCCAACGGTCTTCTGGTACCATAATACGGTTGCGATTTGTGATGAATCGAATACCTAGGAACTGTAGGTCTTGGCGATGGTACTAGGTCCGACTTCGCGTAAGTTTACTAACCAACCTAGTTGTGTTAGTAGCTTTATGATGTAATTTAACTGTAGTTTGAGCGCGAGTGGATCTTGATCTACTTGTATCCGTCGTCGAGGTAAAAGCGACTCGCGTATGCCCTTGACGATGTAGAAATTTGATAATCGGTTTACGTTATCCTCATTGAATAGCCAGGGGCTGATGATATTCGAATGGGAGTACTTTCCACTGGTAATGTAGCCCTTCTAGAGTAAATCGAGTAGGTATTTCCTGGAATCGGGATGAATGGGGATGTGCAAGTAGGCATCCTGTAGATCTATGCTGCCCATGTAGTCCATAGGGCCGAATCATCTGGCGTAACTGAGGTAAATGTATCATCTGAAACCCGATTGGTTTCGCGTAGATAGTTCTTGTTGAAAAGCTCATGTTGTAGATGAGTCTGTATTTCTCCGTGGAGTTTTTCTTGGGAACTAGGAAAACTGGGGAGTAGAAACCTGGTTCGACGTTTGCTTGATCTATTACTTCTATGGCCTGTTTGGATAGGAGTGATGAGACAGCCTCTTTTATCTTTGGTAGTTGTTGCGCTTGTAAATGTCGAACTTGGGGGTTTGATTGTCAGCGGAGGCTTGTCCTGTAGAGGGATCTGAAATTCCGTGTTGAATAATGTTGAGACGTAAGGATCTTGCAGTATTCCCCAGTTTTCCCAGTGTAGTTGGAGGCGTCCACCCACTTGAGCTGGTTGTGCTGCTGGAGCGGCTGGGGTGGAAAGACTCCAGTCGTTCGAACCTGTGTTTCAGCGTCTATAATTGCGGGAACCTCTGGGTGTCCTGCCTCTTCCTGATCCTCCTCTATAGTTGCCATATGGGCGTGAAAGAATCTTACCTCTAGAGCTGGCTATCTTCCTGTCTCTTGCTCTTTGTAGGCCCGTGAACTTAGATCTGCCTGAGTATCTTTGTGAAGTCTGGACGAATGGCGCTGGCTAGTGTGTCCATCGATCTAATCATAAGGACTTCCCTGGAATCCTTAGAGACTTCCTTGGCTTAACCTTGTCGATTTCTCCGTCAAAGATGGATGTTGTCGACCACGGGGCTGTATAAAGTGGGGCTGTAAAGTTCTCCCCCCAATTACAGGAGGCGAGGAGGCCTTGACGACGAGCTAAGGTCAGTGCTGCTGAAACAGATGTAAGATGATCCGTTAAAAACTGCTGATCTTTCTTTTGCATAAGTAAGGCAGAATAAATCATTCTATCATCTTCCGTCGTGGAATCCCGGAATCTAGTAATAAGAGTCTCATTGATCGTCCTAGATCTATTTAACCCAAAGAACATACGTCTCGTCATGGTTTCTATATGAGCCAACTTATGATCATCCATCTTGTAAATCTTGTTCTTTACATCGCTGATGATCTTATAGTTCTCATCGATGTCCTGGGCCTTGTAGAAGGAGTCCATGTTATCGTGGAGAACTTCTTGGCTTAAAAGTTGGGTAGATGTGGTATCTGAACTTTCGTAGCTTTCTGGAAAGCTGCATCTAGATTCTGTGGCACTTCCGCAATCGGGTCGATCGGGTAGAAGTGATTGCATCTGGATCATCTTCCTTCATCAAATACGTCTGAGCTGTATTGCCACTTTTAGATGGTGATGTGAGATCTAGGTTATTGACCATCAATACCGTATCTCTGCATCAGAAAATATGATTCCTCCATCATCCTCAAAACCATCATCATTAATAAATTGTAGATGCTCTTAGGGACCTGCGTGTAGCTGTCTGTATATCTGATGAGGTTTGTAAGCGATCTAGTTGACTTCATGCGCCGCTCTATGTGGAGATCTGATGGGTGATCGACCTGGTGATGAGCGGAGTGGAGATCGTCTATGGGATGATCTTCTGGCGGAGACTTGTGAGGTGAATGTTGATAGCTTCGCAGGAAGCTCTTCGGCAGTCCCTCGATGTTCTTCTAGGCGATGAAGATCTGGAATCATATGTCCTTCGCTGAATGCCTTAGCGAAGCTTCATTTGCGATCCAGTCCGGGGATCGATGATATGACCTTCGTGGCTTCTTCCGTGATGTCTGATGGTCTGAGTCCATATCTAGAGATGAAATCGAAGATGGTGATGATCTCTCCGCCTTGAAGGCCTTCGCGAAGGCTGTACATCTAGGTCCTTCGTCAAAGGTGGTGCGGGACTTCCTTGCTGAAGGTGACATCGTCTTGGCTGCTACGTTTGACGGGGGTGCCTCTGGGGTGCTGTCTCACGTTGGAGCCTTAGCGGCTTGTTCGGACCCTGCTTGCGCAGTTTGTAGTGGTCCTCCATGATGTTCATAATCTGCCGCATCATGTCTTCTGGGATGATCTGTGACGAAGTCGTCGGCGTCTTTTCTGCGATGGGGTTCACATCAATGACGTCTGACGTCGGTGTAGAGGCATCAGGCTGCATGGAGATCTCTGCAGAAGTCACAGTCGCTGACACCGTTCAGCTTCGCCAGTGATTTCCTTTGGAAGTCTGGCGCTGCCCTGGGTGTCCTCAATCTGCGTTGAGGCGACGATGAGGCCCTCTTAGACTTAGTCTGCAATGACGGGATGTCTGGGGAGGCCGGTCGTTTCTTCGAGGTAACGGACTGCGTCCCACGTTCCTCTGCCGCAGGGGTCTCTAGCAGAACACCAGACGGGAGAGGGTCGATCGCTAGCAGCTGACTGGAAGGAATATCTGGACTCTCTGCCATGTTTTGCCCTTGTTTTATGTGATCTATCTGCAGCACGTCTTAAGGCATAAAGATGATATTTATTAAATGCAGAATGAGATAAATTAATGCAGCAACTGCAACGGAATTAAAGCGCGACACGCGCAGTAGAACAACTAGGGCATATTACATGTGGATGGGAGGCAGAAAAGCGTAATCTACAAATCGTACAGATTTTCATGAGCGTAAAGCTAGCTGAACAATCACGAATACACACGTGAATAAACAGTAGAAATCGATAATTAATCAATACAAATAGTAAAGGATACTAGCTATACCTCTATAGTAACCTATGAGAGGTAAAAACTAAGAGATTATCAAAGGATATGTGTGTAAGGAGACACAAGGCGCTCTCACATCCTGCTCACTGGGCTAAGAAGGAGAGAGTGAAGCACATGGCCAGAGGGTGGCGACACCTTTTCCCGCCAGGGGAGACAAAGGGGAGCAACTCGTGGTGAGTACCAATTAGTGATTTTATTTTGAAGGGAGCTTCAAATAAGGAGATACAAGTGTTCCACTATGTTCGCAAGAAGAAGAAGACAAGCAAAAGAGCATGAGTCAGGATAAGGAAAAATTTGTCATTTGTGCATTAAGTGAAGTTCTTGTTGCAAATACTCAGGTTATGTTTTGTCTTGTACTGGTTGGCTCCTGTTGTTGTGCCCAAGAGAATATTATGCAGTAGCATGTGGTCATATAATCCATATCAAAAACAAATTTCCCATATTCATTTAAAAAGTTCTCTCTAAGAAAAACTAGTCTGTTGTCAGGAATATATTATGTATTTGAATAGCAAGTCCTCAGTACCCCACTGACCCATCATTTCACATATCAAGCAGAACAGGTTGAGGCAGACCGAATGATCCTTTGTTTCACATGCAGCCCTAATGTTTTTATCACAAATGAAAACAGTTTTCAGGAACTTATATATAATATGAGATAAAACTCAAATGTTTTCACATGTTATCAGCATTCCTGCACCCACAAACTTGAGAAACACTTCAACTAATTTGACTCCTAAACAATCCATCTGTGTTAAACAAAGTAAAATTGAACATTTTGACTATAAATTGTATATTTATATACTTATCCTATCTCACAGTATGCACTTCTCTCTCTTGATTCAATGGATAATCTGCATAAGAGGGAGGTTGGGTGGGAATCCATCGCGTGAGATAGGATAAGTACATACATATACAATTTATACTTATCCTATCTCTATCCTCTGGTATGCACTTATCCCACGGTCGGATGGCGGGACGCAGATGCCCTATGTCTTGACAGTGCGAACAGTAGAACTGTGTAGACTGGTAACGACCGTAGATAGCGATGCACAAGGGAGGCCTGTTACGACTAGCGCAACTCCTATGCTTGTGATGAGTTCTCCTGAACTCCTTGGCTTACTAAGCACAATGTCTCCCAGGGAGATGGGAGCTCCCGAGCGATGTGGTGTTCGGCCGCAACCTCCGAAGAACAGAAGGATGCAGCTCAGCGAGCAAGACCTCACTTTGCAATGATTTTCAAGGTACCCCCATAAATTAAAGTCATAGACAATAATCGGGCCAGCCCCTGCTTCGAGAAGACCCCCACAGACACCGACCAGGGGCAGGTGAAAGAGAAGCACAACTCAGAAAACTCACAGTTTTAACGTTCAGTTCCAGTCAACATCAAATTGACCCTCACTCCTTTACATAAGCTAAGTTGGAACGCAATGAAATCCACTGGAATTCGAGAATGACACACTTCACTGACAGGAATTGTGAAACGTCGAACCCTTCCACATCGTGATACAGAATCATGCTCCAGATTCATCCAACCACCGAGGTGGTAGTATCTCCGTGTCTTAGTATAAAACTAAATCAAAACCTAAGGCAGACAATCAGTTCCGACTTATATTCAGGAAAATACAGGGAAGCAGCAACTGCGTGGTACCGTCCCTTATCTGCGTTGTTGGGCCGTGGACAGCTGTTGTGCGTGAACAAGGGGTCCAAACTGGTAGAGGCCTTGGACATCCCTGACTGAAAGGTCCCGAAGGTAGTGGGAGGAGAAGGCCGAGTCTGATCGCCAAAAACACCCTTCCATGCATAATGGCGTGGAGAGAACAGTTACTATGCAGAGCCATAGTAGATGGTAAACCCTTGAGCAAATACTGAAGCTCAGGAACCATAGAAACCTTAGCTCATGTGGTGGTAGCCAATACCGAGTTGACAGCAGCAAGGTAAGTGGCCAGGGTGGTCCCTTCAAGCTTCTTAGACGACCGCAAATGCTGAAGAAATTCAGCGACGACCTGAGGTGAAGCAGAAATTGGAGCTGTAATGCCTCATGCCTTATCCCTCAATATCCCTCAAAACAATATCCCTTAGCTATTAAGGACTTCTGTAAATGTGCCAAACGTGCAGAGACAGGGTGCGATGTGTTCCGTGGCACCAATCCGACTGAGGTTGTAACAACAGGTCATCCCGATCGGGAAGAGGAACTGGGTTTAGGTCTGTGAGCTGTGCTAGATCATCAAACCAACTCCTGACTGGCCAGTAAGGCGCGACCAAAAGCAGTTGAATCTGCCTGGTCGACCGGAGTTTCTGGATTAAGCTGGGTAGAAGAGCTAGAGGGGGGAAAGCCTAAGCATTGAGCCCTTCCCACGAAATCACTAGGGCGTTGAGATCCCACGCTAGTAGATCGGTTATCGGAGAGACAAACATCGGGAGCGGATGATTGAACCGCGCTGTGAAGAGGTCGACTTGGGGCCTTGATAACGGGAAGACCAATTCCCGAAAGATCTGAGGGTTCAACTGCCACTCCGTGGGGGATGGCCGGTCGGAGCGTGACAGCGCATCGGCGACGACATTCCTGACTCCGGGAATGTGTCTGGATCGAGCATCAATGACGAGGGAGTCAATTAGATGAAAGAATCGAAACGTCAGCTGAAGAAGATTCGCTGATCCTGTTGACCCGAGATGGTTGATGTACCAGGTGACTGTGGAGTTGTCTGACTGGATCAGCAGAGAGGAACCTCGAAGTTCCTTCGCCCAATGCTGAATGGCTAGAAGAACCAAATACTTGAGCTCGTTGATGTGTAATCCCTGTTCTGCGGATGACCATAGCCTGGCCATCTGTTGATGAAGAAAATGAGCCCCCCAACCTTTGAGCGACGCATCTACGAACAAGTGGTGCATTGGAATGAACGGCATCAAACAAACTCTGGCGCAAACGTTCCGTTCTACAAGCCACCACTGAAGAAGAGGACGTAAAGGTCCTGGCGAGAACGAGATGTTGTATTTTCATCCATCTGTCTTAGGGGAAGAAAATCAGGCCCTGATTTGTGTTGAAAGTTGCTCCGATGAACTGAAGTGTCTGGGTCAGTGTTAATTCCGACTTCGTAACGTTTAACAGTCAACCCAGCTGCCAGAGAAGCTTCACGCTGATCTCCAACTGATGTAAGAGAACGACTGGGTCTCTCTGTGCCTGAATGCAGTCGTCTATGTAGCTTTCAAACACGACACCATGGAGATGAAGAAACCTAAATAGCCACAGGGCCGTGGAAATTCCAAAAGGCAGGACGGTCCATTGATAATGGACCCCTTGGAAGACGAATTGGAGGAATTTCCGATAATCTGGATGAATGGGCACATGGAGGTCCTGTAGGTCTAAGCTGACAAGAAAATCTCCTTTCTTCAGGATGGTGCAAAGGAGGACGATCGATACCATCCGGAAGTGAGGCAGACGCTGGAGATAGTTTTGTGGAGTTTTTCTTGGGAACTATGAAGATGGGGGAACAGAGCCCCGGAGTGCTGGGCGCCAGACCGAGAGACTGGACTGCACACTTTTCTATAAGCGTACCTATGGTGGAGCGAAGAAACTGGATCTGGTCCACCGGATAACTGCGATGTACCGTACGCAATGTCAGAGGAGGGTGTCCAATGACTGGAAGTTGGTAGCCTCTGGAGAGAAGGTTGGTCACAAAAGGGTCGTCTAGGATGGTCTAATGGGCGAACCTCTCTAATCTCCCGCCCACTGGAGAGTCGTAAATGGGAACGGCTGGAGGCGGGAGTTCCCAGTCATGCCCTTGTTTCGACGAGTCACTGCCCTGGGTGGGACTTGGGAGGACGTCTGGAGGAGTTGCCACGAGAGGACTTGCTACCTCTACCTCGGGACGACTGGCCACCAAACACCTGCCAATGTTCCGGATGAGATGGCACGAAACGAGGAGCCTGTCTCTGTTTCAAGGAATCATGCAGATGGGATTTCTGGAATTTCAATAGTTCCACCAAAATTTGAAATTGAGTGACCCTATCCATCTTTGCCGAAACCTCCCCAATGATGCCATTAAATAATGACCCTGAAGACCACAGTTGACAGAGGAGCTCAGCCTTAAACCTGTCATCCCACGAAGACAAACTGAGCGGGCCACGATGCCGAACTGCCAATAAATAACCAAGGAAATGAGACAGCTGGTCCAGTACGATCTGAAATTGGTCCAGTATAAGGGACACACAGCCCCTAATGTAAGCATCTTGGTCGGAGAATGAGTGCTCTACTGATGCCGCAACTGCGTCCACCACAGAGATGATGCAGCTAATCAAGGGTAAGGAGCGAAGAACAGCTGTGTCCATGCGAAACAATTCTCTGTCCTCAACTAAAACAGCTGAACAAGTCCTTTTCCCACAAAGTGTTTGGACATCTTCATCCACTGGAGATGCAGTAGCCAACGACTGGAAACCATGGGAGTGAGATGCCGATAAGGAGTATCTAGGTGAAGACAGGCCATCCTTAATCCTCTTAAGGCTTTTAAAGGCATGATCCAAAGAAGGGCTAAATGAGCAATATAAGGTCGTGGTGGAAGAGTCATAGATGCCAAGTCCCTTTGTCTCATGGAGAAAGAATGCGCTTAGTCCTCCACGTTTCTTGACATAGGGAGATGGAGTTTCTCCACTATCCATGCTAATACTTGGGGTTCGTCAACAAAATCCAGACTTCCCTCTGGGGAAGCAACATCCGAACGTGCTGGAGACGGAGGTTCCGGTTGATGACCAAAACTGGGCGCTGCAACAGATGGTCTAAGGGGAGGAGCACTCCCCGTTGATTGAGTAGACTGTCGTTGACTCCAAGCAGTGGTAATAGCGCTCAACATCGCAGCCAGATCAGGGGGAGAAGTCGTTTCCTATGCTGGAGTCAAAGAATCTGGTAAAATCCGGGTAGAGAGACAAGAGGAGGCATGAGCCCCTTCCGAAGTCGTAGCATGCTGAGATCTGTAATCTGAACCCCATTGAGTAGATCTCCTATCTGAAGAGCTATATCTTTGTCTGGAGGGGGACGAACCCGGTGAAGACGCACAAATGGAGACTCGCTAAGGAGATCGGGAGCGAGTAGGGGACGTGTCATAATGAGAATGATGATCCCTGGATCTAGAACGATAGGCAGCAGTTGATCGTGTAGGAGATCTAGGTTGATAGGTGAAGTGCGCTGAACTGGAAGTCCCACGATGACAAGAAGACGAAGCCCGATGAGGAGACTTTGAGCAGAGAATGGATCTCAACGAAGTAGTTGAAGTAGTGTGTTTAGTAGAATGCGAGCAATTCGAAGAGTGGCGTCTTGGCCGAACTAGACCTAACAGGTCTTTCCGGTGAACAAATCCAAAGAATAATAGGTGATTGATCCCAACGACTCGTTGAATCCGTGTTCATGCTGAAGACATATGACTGGAAGAGTTCGGGGAAGCACTCAGAAACATATGATCCAGAGAAGGGCGTTCTGCTGAATACTGATTCGAAGAATGCCATTTCGGTGAAGCCTGATGTGTAGCATGCTGTTTCGGCGAAGGTTGTTTGGAAGAAGACCCTTCCGGTGAATGTTGATGAGTAAACTGCCTTTGGTACGAAAACCGGTTTGAAGAGAGCTGATTCGTGGAGTGTTGGTCTGGCGAAAACAGTTCGACGAATGCTGTTTCAGCAAAGGGAGGCGTTCCGGTGAAAGTCGAGCTGGAGGGGTGCGGTCCGGTAAAGCGTGATCCGGTGAACTGTGATTTGATGAACTTGCAGGCTTCGGCAAAGTGGAAGGTTGAGGCATCGTGACACAAGAAACACTTCTATTCACCGAATTGGAAGTAGTCGGTGAAATAACTGCTTGCAACCGTTTTGGCGAGCTAGACCGATTCCTGTCACCACTGGACGAATGACGAGATCTTGAACGGCTACGCAAATGCGATCTTGCCAATCAGGTGGAGAGACTAGCTGTTTCTTGTAAACCAGGTTCCCTTGATAATTGATCCGGGAAGTGAGACACGGAGAGCATAGTTCGAAGGTCCTGCTGTAATGAAGTATTCTGGGGGGGTGGCAGAACAGTCGATGACCACCACACTGGACGTGGTCGAAGATGAGGGACTCGGGACTTGAATGTTGTCAGCCAAGAAGTTTACGAAGATCTTCCGATAAATAAGCGTCTGACGATGCTCTCATTAAATCCTCTTCATTCGAGGGAGGGGACTGTGACCAACGAGCAGATAAAGTAGGATGCTTAAACTTGCCTTTCTTGGTGGGACTGGGTCCATCTAACGATGCTGCATATATCTATCAGCAATATGTCAAGCGCAAGCCCTGGTGTAGTCTCCAAAGGCCTCAAAGGTAAGATTCTTGCATTTCTCACGTGTTTCCCATTTGCATTGTACCACACAATCGATACATATAGAATGTGGATCACTAGCAGAGAAAACCTTGTTACACCTTATTTTAGGCTGGTCAGTCTTCCCCATGTAGAAAACGCTGAGTAAAGTAAATTACATTCACACTCAAGTGCGATAAGAAGGAGAATGATGATTCAGAGGTGGTCACATGGGTAGCTAGTGGAGCATGCTGCATGCGGCATGCTTTGCATGACAACTAGGAAGCTGTCTTATAATGAGGGTATCATAGAGTGCTTGGGCGGATGGACAAGAGAGGCCTAAGGAGAAAAAGTTTACATCTTTACACCCAGTGTCGAATCAAGAGAGAGAAGTGCATACCGTGAGATAGGATAAGTTTAAAAATTAGCATTTATTTAAATTTACCCTATCACTGTACAATATCTGTTCAATCAATGACTTGAAACACAATTATTATGGGATGTCATTCCAAAAGTCTCATCAAAGCATGTGCGATACTGCACACACTATATCCTGTATACCTACCACTACTTCCATGACAGGAGGCTGCCTAAATTTGAGGTTGTTCACAGCTGGACTTGCCACAGAGGAGAACCACTCCATGATATGTTTTACCTGAAAATTAAAAATAATTCAAATGACTTACCAATCTGTACGATACATATTAAGCTTGCCTAACCATGGTAGCTTGGTTTTTGATAATCCAAAGGTGCAAAACTAACAGAACTAACAGCATTTGAAATCACGGTCAAGGTCAGTGGTCAATCAGCTGCTGGTCGTCAGTAAACTGGTGGGTGAAGAACACTGGAGCAAATAAACAGTCAGTTGAGAATTTGAACTTCATTTTAATCATGTCATGTCATGAGGTTACTTAAGCACCTAATCATGTTTAGTACTTGCTTGTTGTTTAACCCTGCCAGCTATATGGCGGCGGTCTGTAAATGATCAAGTCTAGACCAGACAATCCAGCCATAAACATCATGAGCATCGATCTACATAACTGCGATATCATGACATGTGTCAACCAAGTCAGCAAGCCTGACCACCCTATCCCGTTAGTCGCCTCTTACTAATAGTATTAGGACAAGAAAGGTTTGCTGAAGTACTGGCCACTTCTAACCCGAATCTTCGGAGGTCAGCTAATAATGTCCTGACATTCAGTCCTGGGTGAGATGCCCATCATGAAGCATGTAATAATTGAAACCAAGATCATGATGAAAGTGAATGAGGGAATCAAACCCATAACAGCATCTCTACTGGAAAGGGAAGTAACTCTGCACAGCTATGCACCACCTGAATTTCAATCCTGCAGAATGACACAGGCTATCAATTTGAGACATTCTGTTCATGCAGACTGGTCTAAAATGTGTGCATACTTCCAAATAATGACCCACGTTACCATGGTATCAGTGATAGTACTGACCAGTATGACGCCATGATAGTCCATCCTGATGGATTCAGCGATCTCTCTCTCAGCTTGTGACGACACACACAGACCGTCACCCAGCCAACCAAACCCACGGAAGGCCAGGATGGTGGGGAAGCCTGTCACGCCATGGTCCACACACAACTGCCTATCCCGCGTACAGTTTGCAAGGTAGAGGGAGCCACCATCTAAAATAGCAGAGAAAGTTCCACGTATAAAAGAAATGATATCACTAACAAGATCTCAGAAAAGATCAAATAATTGCCAAAGACAAATACTTCGAGTGATGGCAAACTGTCTAAAACATCTTAAAAGACAACGTTATTTACACCTTTCAAAGTAGTAATGCAACCATGTTTACCCATAAGAAACAAAAGATTGGCACTGTTATCAAACCTCATCCGCTGCCTGTGACACCTTTGTGATACCCTTGGATGAAACTTTCTTCATTTCTGTTCTATTGACAATTTTGTATGATTCATCCCTAAAATGAATTGTTTACCATTCTAATTAAAAAGCTACTTCTGGTGCACAGTTTGAGCTTCCTACATAGCGGCAATGGAAAGAGCTGAAGTCACTGTCCACTGAGCTCAAACACACTATCTACTGTGCCGGATTGGTGAGGGAAGACAATATCTAACCTATATACTTTACTGTTTCGTGCAGTTCACGAAAGACATCCATGTTACGTCGACAGCTTCCACATCCATCGATCAGGAACACAATCTGCATGACACAAAATGTTGCTGGGTTAACACCACTGTGATAGGATGATGTGTTCCACTGGACTAGTTGTAAAGTCCTTAGTGGGCAAGTTAAGAACTGTTTATGAACATTTTCCTTCAAATCACTACATGGCTATGTAACGGTTACCCGGCACAGAAATGTGGATTTATCAAGGATTCAAGGAGCCCTAGGGCAGGTAAATTAGGAAACATTCTTATCTTGTTCAATTTTTTTTTTTCATTTTAATTTCGTTATTTTCAGAGGTATTTTAGCAATGCATTGTAAAATTGCCTTCAATAAAATTATGTAAGGTCTCTAAAGAATTAGGTCACTTCCTTCCTTAGATTCTGTTATCAGTAGAATCCATTTAGTCATGTCAACCAAACCATCGCATTTAAGTTAAAATTAGGTGAAACAAACACCATGTGTAATACATTCCTATTTGGAAAGATTTGGGGTCAAATATTCTCATCTGCGAAGGACTATATAAATTCCAAGATATTGACACTTTGGTGAAACCCAATAGCAGCACTATACTGGACTGTCAAGGGCATCTAAGGGACATAACTCTGCTCAGCAAGTTGCAAACTGTAGCGCAAATAGGGCTGCGCAACAAAAAGAAAATGACCAATCTTCCTATATGTGAGCGAAGCGAGTAAAGGTTGGCAATGTACTTCCCTCGCTTCGGTTCGAAAAATATTTTTAACATCAACATAATATATGGCCACCATCAAAGGTAGATACCCTTTCCCTCACAGGGTTGTGCTTTCAGATTTCCTCTGTGGTGTAGTGGTTAGAGCGTCCGCCCGGAGAGCGGAAGGTCGCGGGTTCGATCTCCGGCTGCTGACATTAAAATGTGGTACTTGTTGGTCCCTGCCTGGTGCTCGGCATTAATGAGTACAACAAGGACTGGTCAGCTCGGAGTCAGTATACTGTGTCTGAGTGGGGTATTCATGCTTCACTGCGGCATGTTATCTCAGTGGGTTAGCACTATAAAACCAGCTTCAGTCTGGGCTAGTACAAGCAGGCGAACATACACATACACACGCATGCGCGTTGTCATATGAACGAAATATTCTCAGGTACGACATTAAACCCCATTTCACCTCACCTCACCTCAGATTTCCAACTTCATATTTAATAATTACCCCCCTAAAATATATTTAATTCCACAGTTTTCTCTCTGTTGCGCAGCCCTATTTGCGCTACAGTTTGCCTGTGCTGTGACGTTCCAGATTAATCTGGCTCATTCCACCATGTATGTAACACTTTGGGAAGCACTGGAGTACAGATGTGTGATTTGACTGTTAACCGTGTTACATTACATCCTGATGCATATCAAGTTTTTATGGATAGACAACTACTTTATTGCAACAGATGCAAGCAAGTGATAACACTGTTAGCATCTACAACAAAACGTCACATCCGTTGCAATCAAGAAGTTGTCTATCCATAAATACAGTTCCTCTTCATCACACTAGCTTCTAAATGCCACTTAAAGAATTTATATATATAGTTAATATGACATGACATCGTCTTTTGAAGACTTGTTATTTTCTGTCGAACAGAAACTTGATACCGACTTAGATTTGAAAATACAAATAATTTGAACAGTTGCATGAGGTTTGCTACTGCCTTCAGTATGTGTGGTGTCATGGGAGTGTCACAGGCATGGAACTACTCTCAATATGGATTCCTCCCAGTACTAAGTGAGATCATATATGTTTGACCTGAACCAGACTGCCTCCGTGGTGTAGTGGTTAGAGCGTCCGCCCGGAGAGCGGAAGGTCGCGGGTTCGATCCCCGGCCGCGTCATACCCAAAGACGTTAAAATATGGTACTTGTTGGTCCCTGCCTGGCGCCCGGCATTAATGGGTACAACAAGGACTGGTCGGCTCGGAATCAGTATAATGTGTCTGAGTGGGATATTCATGCTTCACTGCAGCATGGTATCTCAGTGGGCTACCACTATAAAACCAGCTTCAGTCTGGGCTAGTACAAGCAGCCGCACATACACATACACGCATGCACGTCGTCATATGAGCTAATATTCTCAAGCACGACGTTAAACCCAATTTCACCTCACCTCACCTGGACCTGAACCAAATTAGTGTTCGACTACAGCCCAACCATTGCCCTTACAAGACATCACAAGAATAAACAACATGAAAACACAGTTATGTTTTATAAGCAGTATGCATGTGACACCACCAGATAAAATCTGACATAAATGTCTGGCCATCAAATAATTAACAGATATTGGCTTACCATGGCCACCTTGGTATACTCTCCTGCCCATCGGCCCTCTGGCAGGAACGGGTGTCGTGGTGCGTGGGACTTCTCCACCACCTGACTCCATGTCACGTGTGACACAACTGGTATCCCATGATCCTTCGGAAGGGTGGCATCAATTTCATCAAAAATGTCCTGTGGAAACAATTTACAGCTTGTCTTACAGTGTATTATTTCACTATGTGTTGGTTCAGTTACCGCACACAGAAATATAAACAGTATAACTTAAAAGGGCCTACATTTGTATAATTATTAGGAAAATCCATTGCACCTTCATATGTGCAATTAAATGAGTGAGTGAATATGGTTTTCATCGCTTTTAGCAAAATTCCAGCAATATCACGTTGGGGGACACCAGAAATGGGCTTCACACATTGTACCCATGTTGGGAATTGAACCCTTCTGTGTGACGAGTGAACACTTTAACCACTAGGCTACCCCACCGCCCCTTGTGCAATTAAAACTCATCATAACACAAAACAGACAAATTCATTCTCCACTTGTACTTTTACACAGCAAAGAATTCAAAATTAACATATTTCTATTTATTTATCATATATCAGTATAAAACATGTCAGTATAAATATTTATCATGAAAATGCTGTAAAACATACCCTGTTGGGCCAGTCTCTTTTCTTTTTCAGATTTTTCATTTTCTTTTTCACCTGTGGCTTCTTCGTGGGTGTATTGTCAGTCAGGTTATGGTAGGCTGAAGAACACATGTGTCCATACGGACCCTCAAACACACCAGACACCTGTCCAACACATACAAGCACCTTGTGTTTAGTGATTCGTGATTAGTGATTAGGTCCTGTCTGCTTATTGTAAGCTAGAGAACACATGTGTCCATACGGACCCTCCAACATACCAGACACCTGTCCAACACATACAAGCACCTTGTGTTTAGTGATTCGTGATTAGTGATTAGGTCCTGTCTGCTTATTGTGTGTAAGCTAGAGAACATATGTGTCCATACGGACCCTCAAACACACCAGACATCTGTCCAACACATATATACTACCCATCAAAAGTTAAGGTAGTAAATAGCAACCTCACAGCGAGCGTATTCATTTCTATATCAACCGAGGGGGAGGTAACTATTTGCCATACACGTAGCGGAAAAGGAAGACTATTTTGTTAAAATACACGCAGGTAAAATGGAGGATTATGTTAAGTTAATCTAAATGATTTTAAAATTATTTAAACAAATACAGTATTGTTTTGAAAAATGAGATTAGGTCTTACTTAGTCTTACTTACAAAATCCCGCAAACACCCCTTGAAACAAGATGAGATTATGCCACGGGAAAGTGCATCTGCACAGACCAACGCAGGACCCGGGGTGCGTTCAGTTGCAGATACCTCACCACGGGTGTCCTTTTTTAACATGGGATGTTCGCGAACGCTCACAAACAACTATCGCTACGAACTGTGTCATTCATGTTGTGGTGTAAGTAATAAACAGTAAACTTGCTCATCCTTTTTGTCATTTTGACAGAGGTAATTCTTGAATATGTCTCGAGACGGAAGTCGAGTGAAATATTTAAGAATTGCCGATGAGAATATTACGAGGGAGAATATGGATAACCGAGGCGACGCTAAGGTATTCCATATTCGCCCGAGTAAACATTGATATTGTAAGACCCTTGAATGATATTTGAAAACAACCGCTAATGACGTCATAAGAGGTTGATATGAGGATGAACCAATACAAAGTGTTTGGGAACGTATCGTACCGAGGTGTGTATACTCACCTAAAGCACTCACTATATGTTATGTATATATATATGGTTACATCAAAGATGAATTTCTTCACTAACTTGGGGGAACCAACTGAAAACCTTATGCAGATGCATTGCACGAGGATCATGCACCAACTTGCTGTAAAGCATGTGCAAATATCATGCATGTGAACAGCTGCGTTTTGGTGTAAAGTTTTGTTACGAATTCGTCAATTTTCACTGAGTTTCATCATTTATTGAACTCATGACAATAACCTTTTCAACGTTACAAATGTGTTTTACAATACATCAGTTCATGTGTAAAACAGTACCTTTAAACAGTATGGAAAGTTTTGCAAAATTTATTTTAGAACAGCTGACTTAAGTAAATGGCTACATTTACACTAGTGAGTCTCAACTTTTGATGGGGAGTATAAGTACCTAGTGATTAGTGATAAGGTTCTATCTTGTAATGGTAGGCTGGAGAGCACATGTGTCCATACAGACCCTCAAACACACTAGACACCTATCCAACACACGCAAGTACCTAGTGATTAGTGATTAGTATTCGGATTAGAATATTGATCTTCAATAACCCATGCTTGTCATAAGGGGCGACTAACAGGATCGGGTGGTCAGGATCGCTGACTTGGTTGACACATGTCATCGGTTCCCAATTGCTCAGATCGATGCTCATGCTGTTGATCACAGGATTGTCTGGTCCAGACTCGATTATTTACAGACCACCGCCATATAGCTGGAATATTGCTGAGTGCGGCGTAAAACTAAACTCACTCACTAGTGATTAGTGATTAGGTCCTGTCTGGTTATGGTGGACTGTAAAACACATACGGACCCTCAAACACACTAGACACCTGTATCATGTGGTACATGTATGGTTAGTGTTCACCTGTAGCCAGCCCTGATGAGCCTACCTGCATGGGGTCCTCTACTCCGTATGGCTGGTACAGCAATGGCTCCCCACTGTAGGTGGAGATGTTGATGCCAAGCCCCAGGATCTCTGTGTACACAGTTTGTGGACTCGGTCTCTTCTCAGACAGCAGAGTCTGTTGTAGCTCACCTGTCTCTCTATCTACAAATAGTGCAAATAGATGTCTACCTGTCTGTCTACAACTAGTGCAAATAGATGTCTACCTGAATACACTATGTCATTTAGAAAGTGGTCAAATGTAACACGTTATATTTGGGATTACACTTTCTCAGTAAAGTACAGATTCTAGTACTTTTGTTGGGCCGAGTCCCATCCGGGATTCGAACCTACATCCTCAGAATCAGGCACCTAATTGCCAGCACACAAAGTCAGCTGCCTAATTAACCAACTGAGAAAGTGTAATCCCAAATATAACATTTGTTACATTTGACCACTTTCTAAATGGCATTGTGCATTCATAGCTTTCAACCAGGGGAGCCGTGACAATTTACACTCATCAGAGCGATACACAAAGTCTATGGTCTAGACTACCGGTTGTCAGACTTCCATTTTTGTGGAAGAGGCGGTGGCTGAGTTGGTTAGGCATCTGACGTAACGTTGAACCCTGAGTGATGACAAACCTTTACACACAAACAGGGTATACCAGCAGCTGAACCCACAATCACAAGTAGACAGATTATGTGACAAACGGTTACCATGAAGGCAGTCATGTAAATCCATACACTTTAAATATTTATATGTTTATAGTTACCTTTTGTGAACAGGATGAGAAAAGGAAACAATCTTGCCTTCTTGGGGTCAATGTATCTATTGACCACTGAAATACAAGCAAGACAAATATATCAGGAATATATTATTTGTTTCAGTCAATATCTAACAGTCTCTCCTTGATTCCATGGTGAATTTTTTTACGAATTCCGTTGCAAATTAAAGTAAATTCTGCATCCCATTTCTCAAAATTCTGCAAAAGATTCTGCAGTTAAATACTTGAAAAAACAACCAAAAATGATAAAGAATTTCAAACTTTTACTCTGAAACACAAAGCTGTAACTGTTTTAGAGCTTCATGGCATTCAAGGTACAGCTGACAGATTGTTTTTTCTTGCAAGATGTTTTTTAGATTTAGAAAGATGATCTGAAACCGTACTCTTACGAGTGTGACCAGGAATGACATTACAAACTCTACAAAAATATTGTTTCATTTGATAGTCAACCTTCTTTTAACTTTCAAAATAAGTAAATTCTGCGGCAGAAAAATGGTAAATTCTGCCGATATTCTGAATGAAAATGCGTTTTCTGCGGACCAGACGTTTTTCTGCATTAAAAGGTAATTTCCACAATTTATTTGGCAACCACGGAATCGCGAAATCCAAGAGGGACTGATTTAACATATTCATTTTACATATTAACTGGATAGCCTTGATTTTCTTGACCACCAGATATCCCAGCTCTACAGTGTCAGTGAAAGCTGTTGTATCAACATACAGCTGTTACGCCATGGTCTAAGGCTGACATGATTGTATATTACATCAGTGAGTTTTCATACTTGGAACCATAATGCATGGAATTTAGGCACATATCAATCCTACACAGTTCAAGTGTCACGAGGAAAATGGAAAATGGCATGAAGGTGAGGTGAAATGGGGTTTAATGTCATACTTAAGATTATTTCGCTCATATGACGACGTGCATGTGTGTGTATGTGTGGCTGCTTGTACTAGCCCAGACTTAAGCTGGTTTTATAGTGCTAGCTCATATTATACCGACTCCCGAGCTGACCAGTCCTTGTTGTACCCATTAATGCCAAGCGCCAGGCAGGGACCAACAAGTACCATATTTTAACGTCTTTTAGTATGACGTGGCCGGGGATTGAACCTGTGACCTTCCGCTCTCTGGGTGGACGCTCTTATACTCATTGACATATCAGTAATGAAAAAATGATCAAAGCAAGAAAAACTGGAAGAAATCTAACCCTTAATTTCTTAATTAAGAAAGCACTTTTTTACTCAGTTTTTCATATCTCTTATACTGTGAACACAAAAAATTAAATTCTCTTCTTCAGTTTATTTCAAATGTTATTCAAGTGAGCAAAATAGGTAGACAATAAGTTGTAGACCATTACCATGATTTAGTGATACAAAACAAACTGGAGGAGACCTGAAGAGATATCAACTGCATGCAGTGACTGTTTGACATGTCACCTGTCGTGGACTCACATTGGTTTTGCTCAGACAGGTCAACTAAGCCAAATCTCAAGGCTACACTCAGGTCGTCAAACTCCTGCACAGTGAGAGACATGAAGCGTAGGAAGGTCAAGGCCCCTGGTGCCCAGAAGGCGTAGAAGCCAATCAAGAAGGGGACATAACTCTCATCAGATGTGTCCCGGACTAACTGATTGAAGGACTCCTGTGGATTAAAACAAGAACTGATACAAATAGGGACCATATACCTTGGGATATAACTGAAATAAGGTCTTTTTGTCTAACAATTGAAATAAGCAAAGTTGGTTTGAGAATGTTCATTATCCTCTTAAGTGCTATCCTCTGCAGTTTTAGCTGTGTCATGACATATCAGTTTAGCTAGAGATGACAGCTATAGATTAAAAGAGCCATGATCCTATTTAGGAGATGATATCCACCATGTATTTTGATGGCCTTGACCTCTGGTCAGCATGTAACTGCAG